ACGTGTCTCCAGCCTCCCTCTGAGAACCCATGTGTCAGACTCTATAATTTGTTTTTCTACACGTACATACACTTCAGAATTCAGCCTTCCTCCACCCTCTGCCACCCACCTTTCTTTCGAGGAACTAGAGTGGGGTGCATTCCTTCTCTCTTCCTTGAGGTGAGCAAACGAAATCTGACCCATTCTGGAATCATAACTCTGGTCCCTTTTTCTACTCACTCCTTCTGGTATTTATAGTTTAATCACAGAGCTGGAAAACAGTGTTTCAACTTGTAAGGAATTCCAAGCATCTTGCTCAGCCATTAAAGAATCCAGAAGATGCACAGCTAGTCCTTCTAGGAAACACAAGTGCTTGGAGTGGAGGAAATTTGCATAGAGTTACTCATACTTTCCCATCTGCAACCTGACGCTGGAGAGCTGGTCCATTATGGCAGAGAGGGCTCCTTCCCAGCCAGAGCAGAGCACAACAGAACATCCTTGTGCTGAAGGAACTGCCCAGATTACCCAGCAGAGCTTTTGATTTCACCCAGAATAAACCAGATGGGGAAGTCTGTGTCGGCCCTGGTGCCACAGAGATATTCATTATTTGCCAAGCTAGGTTGACACCAGACCTATGGCCCTGGGTCTCTCAAGCTGCCCTTTACCATCCTAAGCTAATCACCCACTGCCTTAAAGATGTGTTGCATCCTGTCGCTGGAGTGGGGACACCACTGAGCAGCCCAGATGCCTGCCCTGAGAGCCAGTTTCTAGGTCTGTCTTGTCCGCCCCAGTTATGCCCACACCTGGCAGCTCCATTGTGACTATCTGCTGGGTGAATGAATAAATGTAAATGAGCTGCATGTATCTTTTTGAGTTCGAGTTTCCTCCAGATAAACGCCAAGAAGAAGGATTGTTGGGCCATGTGGTAAGTCTTTAGTTTCTTGAGGAATCTCCATACTGTTTTCCATAAAGCCAAGACATGGGAACAGCCTAAATGTCCATCAACCAATGACTGGACAAAGAAGATGTGGTATATATACAATGGAATACTACTCAGCCATAAAAAATAATAAAATAAAGCCATTTGCAGCAACATGGATGGATCTGGAGATTGTCATTCTAAGTGAAGTAAGCCAGAAAGAGAAAGAAATGCCATATGATATCACTTATATGTGGAATCTAAAAAAAGAAAAAAAAGACACTAACTTCTGAACTTATCTACAAAACAGAAACAGAGTCATAGGCATGGTAAACAAACTTATGGTCACTGAGGGGAAAGGCGGTGGGAAGGGATAAATTGGGAGTTTGAGATTTGCAGATACTAGCTACCATACATAAAATAGACTAACAGCAAGTTTCTTCTGTATAGCACAGGGAACTATATTCAATATCTTGCAGTAGTCTATAATGTAAAAGAATATGAAAAAATATACGTATGTATGTATATGACTGAAACATTGTGCCATACACCAGAAATCGACACATTGTAACTGACTACACTTCAATTAAAAAAAAGTTTAAATGAAGTATAGATAAGGAAACCACCCATCTGAGGTCTTTCACGTCAAGAAATTCTTTCCCTTTGTCCCCTCCAAAATACATATGTCAGATGGTAGGTCTCCATTATTGGTTTGGAAAGTAGGGTCACCCTCAGCCCAGGGGCAGGACAGTGGTGGGGAGAGCCCAGCCTAGAGCCCTGGCCTGGTAGGACAGCTGAGAGTACTCACAGACACTTGGCGTGGCCCCCGGGTCCCCGAGAGAGCTCACTCAACCAGGCCAGCACTGCTGGGGCTCTGGCCTGTCTGAGAGATGTGGGCAGAGTCAGGAGACAGTTTCTCTCCTGCCTTTGAACTTCCCAGCTCCCATCCCTTTAACTGCATCAGCTGTGGGCGACTGGAGGAGGCCCTGTCTAGAGGGAGCTGGGGGAGGGGAGGTAAGCAGGCAGAACCCAGTGCTCCTCTTCTCCCCCTACCGCCAGACCTGCTTCTCCTGGCCTCCCCTGCCTGGATTGAGTCCGTGTCTGCCTCTCCAGTTTCCTTCAGCTGGAAACCCTGAAGGAGTTGCGAGTCCTCCCTCCCCTGAGTCTTCACCTCCAGGGCTCCCAGCCCCTTCAGGTCTGCCCCCCAAGGCCTCTCACTAGCCCCCACCACTTCTTTCCTAAGCCCCGCTCCTGGACCTGGCCAAGGTGCTGTCTCCACTTCCCTCACACGTGGTCACTGCCTCCCTTGGCCAGCACCAGACTGATGGTTCAAAATGCAGGTCAGGTCATGGCAGCCCCTTGATCTAGCAGACCTCCCCTCTGCCTGGCCTCTGGGGTGCTCTGCCCTCGTCTCCCCTAAAGCTCTAATTTTGCATGATTGTACCTTTATCTATTTGGCTTCCCTGTCGGCTCCACAATATCAGGGCACTTGCTTCTTTGTCAAGGATGCTTAGTGGAGGGTGGATATGTAACGGTGTTCAAAGAATGCTTCACCAGTGAACGCAGGAACGAGGTGTGGGGCTGGGTGCGCCCACCATGGTCAGCAGCGAGGCCGGAGGATGGTAACATACCGCCTCTGACTTCAGGCAGTGTTCTTGCTCTGCTTTTTACCTCTTCTTAGACTTGGCTCCTCCCTCCCACGAGGGCCCTCTTCTCACCCCCTGTTCCTGCGTTTCAGGATATTTGGGATAGATTTCCCCACCTGGGGTTTAAGTCCAGGTGTGAGCCCTGCACGTCCTCCTCTTCTGGGTTCCCAGTGCATTTTTGTCCTCCGCGCACACCTGTCACTTCTGGGACTCAAGCCTGCTGCTCTCCCTGTAGCCCTCTCAGTCTGGGAACTGTAACCATCCTCTGTCTTGCCCTTTGCTGGGTGGTGAGGATTTGGGGTTGTCCAGGATGTGCTGAGAACATGAAGGAGAGGGGTAGCTTGGGCTGGAGAGAAGGGATAGGGTTTGTCTGAGTAGGAAGGAGAAGGTGGTGAGTGGTGGTAAATGTGTAAGTTTGTCAGCACCTGCTGTGGGCAATACCACATCACTCCCTGCTCTCTGCAGCCCAGAGCCATGATGTGGTTCCTCAAGCTTGGCAGCATTCAGCGACGCCCTTGCCGAGCTGTTCAGCAGGGATGCTGGCATTCTGCTTCAGACCTTTCTAGTCACATCCCAAAGTGCCCCAACTCTGCTACAATTCTCATGCACATGAATCAAAGGAGACAAATCTTCAAAGAGCTGGAGAGCTTTGGAGACAG